TAAATATCTTAAAAGTATCTTGAAAGTTTTGAAAAGATATCTTGATAATCTCCTAATCTAGTTTAATGAAAATTTTTTCATAAACTTTGATTAGACAGTTGTAAATATTTTCGTACAAAAGTTTTTTGAAAAATTTTAAACTAAAGAGTGATAGAAATAATAATCAGGGGTATGAATGTCATATTTGTTTGCTTTGCAATATCATTGAATTTAAATCTGATGAGCTTATTCGTTGTAATAAATAGTCTTTTAAGATTTATTTAACATTGAAATTGTATAAAAATATCCAACCACGTTATATATGCTTTGTATATATTTTTATATGCTTTGTATATTTGTTTATATATTATACTTTATATATATTTTGTGTAAAATGTAAATTAATAAATAAAGTTTCCTACGCCAAAAAAAAAAAAAACAATCGACGGAATTAGACTATCTTTGATTCGTACTAATCATTTATTAACTAATAAAAACCTATGAGTTTGACCTATATAACTTAACTTGTATGATACAATGACAAGTGCAGTCACCAAACCAATTTCAGATAAAAAAAAACAAAGATAAAATTTTAAATTTTTGCCAGACTAAAAAAAATCAAAAGATTACAATTTCAAACTATTCCTATTGAAAACAACTAGGATTCTTTATCTTTCTTATCAGAGGATGATTTAAATGATGAAATACGAATAGAGATCTGTGAAAAATCTATTAAACGTGCAGAATTCGTGCAAAGTAATACATATATATCCACGTCTAAAAAGTATCCTGTATATGTAGAATTTTACGGTATTCATTATTCAATACCAATTATTCAGCAAAAAGGACATGATAAACATATAGATGAAGAAGTCGGAAAAAACTCACGAATAATGATTCTTCAAAATATTCATAGTTTTGCTAGGCCTGGTATATATTATTGCAACTTAAGAGTGTACTGTCCACCCAAGAGTTGAACAATCACGTAACACATGTATTACAGGGGAGCTGTTAGTGATTATGGGCCCATCAGGATGTGAGAAAACTACGCTTTTGAACATGCTCAGAGATCGTACATCTAAAAAAAATATGGAAGGAACAGTTAAATTGAATGGACATATGCCAACTAAAGTCTCTAGATATTTTGTAGTCTATAGTACTCAAGATGATGTCTTTTTTTCA